ACTACTTTCGGCTTGACCAAAACTGGACGAGAACTCTGCTCACAGGACGCTGCCAGGGGTAAGTCAGTGTGATTGCATGACACTGGTGATGGGGATGCCATACAGATTCATGTCAAAAATACCGAACTATCCCTTTAACAGAAACTGCAGCCTCCTGATGTAGCCTCAGACAACTGGAGTCCTAACATGAACTTTTGGTTTTTCGTTTCCAAAAGATAAAACATGGCTGTTCTGTAGGATATTTAGCTTTCTTGTTAACAGCTAAAAGACTTAATCTCTTGGTTTATTTCAGTCTGAATGAATAACAGACATGTGCTTAAAAGTAGCAAACACATTTTCCCTTTAAATAGCTTCTGCATCTCTAGCTTAATCTAATTTAACTTACTAATGTTATAATTAATAACTCTGAGTCTTCTTCACTCAGTTTCATCGTTCACACTGTAGTGTTTAGTGTTGGCCTTCTAACACCTAAAATGTTGCGTTTACTTGGTAGAAACTTGATTGGATTTTTTTTAGTTTCCATCCACAGGTCGGAGCCAATAAATCTGAAAACTGTCAATTTTCAGGCATTAACATATTTCTTGGTGCATCCCTAAAGTTTACCTCTTAAACCCCTCTATTTAGCCCTTCTATGAATGCTATCCTCTAAACTTTACTGTGGTATTCTTTTAAATATGTGTTATTAACTGCAATAACAACGTTGGCTCTTAAGTCCTACCACTGCATGAAAAGTGTCTACAGAGATTTCTCAACTTGGGTCCCTCTGTGGTCAAATCTCTTCCGTCGATTCCTCAGCATGCGTTTCTGTACCATTTTTTTATCTTTACAGTGCTGTGGTCTGACTCTCCTTTCTGTGACATAGAGCCCTAAGACACCGTGTTCGACATAAATGTGGGGTTTCTTTGTTTGTACTCAGTGTCATGCAAATCTTTGTTTCTGTTGATAGCGTGAACTCTACTATGCCATCAGAAGCTAATGAACGCTACTCACGCCTCACGTCAGTTTCAAGCTCAGTGGACATAGACGGGAGAGATTCAGTAAGTAATGTGTGGCTGTTACAGGAGGAAAAGAGTTCATTTTGATAAAATAGGAAATATTGATTATAAAAAACGTAGTTCTGTTATGATTCATTACTTAGTGATATATTTAAGTATTTTCTATTTGTTAATTTTGATAATTATGGCTAACAGCTTTAGAAAAAAAAAAACTGTTTCCCTAAATTTATGCTATATAAAGCCAATTTTAAAATATGCTTTAAAACTATACTGTGACACTACTAGAACGTACAATCATATGGGGCATTGACATCCTCCCAAAGGAGAGTAAGTCCCAAAAGTCCTCTGCTAAAAAAGATGGGTGTTAAAAAGCAATATGCAAGGTATTGTATGAGGTATTGAACAGGAGAAAGAAGTAGTGAATAAAAAAATAATAATAAAAATGCACAAGCAGAAAAAGTTAAAACTTCAAAAGTTTTAGACACTATGTTGACTGCAAATCTATATAGAGATGTAGCTAAGAGTCAAAAGTGTACTTTTTTTTCTCTTTTTTTCTTAATAAAAGTACATTTTGCCGGTCCCTTATTCCAGAGGAGTAGTGTAGCAGCAGTGAATCCAAGTTGCTTGAGTACTGTTTTGAAGTTTCTGTGGTAAACAGTGTGGAAAATAAGTATTTTAGCACCCTGCTATTTCCGATTTTTTTCCAATCCGACCCAGGCCACTTGGCTATGTGGTCCTGAATCCGATACGAATCTGATCTTTTCAAATGCGACCTGTGTCTGAACGGCCAGGTCAGATTCATCAGATCTGAACGTCATTAATACCTGACATAGGTCACTATTCTGCGTCTCGCTACGCAGAAACGGCAAGAAAAACAACAACCATGGCAGATGATGATGCGGAGAGCAGTATTTATGTTTAACCATGTGAAAAGATTGAGTTTTTATGGTTGGAAAAGACCACTAGATGCGCCCCGGTACTACCACCCATGTTTACTTCCGTAAACATCGAGCACGCTGGCCTGTGACGTCATTGCGTCGTCTACTGCCCATGCGGGACACTTAAGTTGTATGACTGCAGATCACAGACAAGTCTCATATATTTGGAAATATATGAGACTTTTAGTCTAAAGTCTAAAAGTCTAAAGTCTAAATATGAACAGCAACGCAAAAACAATCGGATTTCACAAAAAAATTGGATCAAGGCCTGCAGTGTGAACGTGGCCAAAAGCTACTGTACCAATATCTGTATTCAGATGAGCATTACCTATTAGTCAGCGTAGCGTTTTATTTGAGCTACTTGAATTATTTAGTCATATCTAATTCATTGTGACTTTCCCACATCATAGCCACCCACGCTCTTTCTCCTCATAATAGGCAGAGCCTCTCATTGCCTCCTGGCACTGCCCACAATTTGTCTGTGGAAGGGTCTACTTTTACATGAGGTTTACTTACATTTTAATGACCGTGATATCGATGTGCCAGCAGAGCTCCCTGGCTAAAAACCCTACAATAAATCCTTTAAATTTTTTCAAGAGGCCGTTTGCAATTGTTCTTTAATAGCTCAGTAGGGCGGCAGTCTGATTTGCTGCATGTCATGCTGCACTGATGCAACAGTTGGTGCACAATAAGACCCAACGTTCTTCCACTGCATGATCCCTAAACATACTATTCAGTTGGCGAAGATATATGAAATAAAAGAAATCAAAAGTCTTTTTAATGTTGCAGAATGTTCAAATAGTCATATTAACAAAATATACCTAAATATATATAAATATTCTTCAAGTGTAAGCCATAAGAATCAAATGGAGAGAATATTCTGTTTTGTAAATATTTTACCCAAGGACCCTTTGGGTAATATTTCCCTTTTCTTCTTCAATTGTACCTGTATGTTTAGTTGCAACAGAACCTACTGTGTTTAAGTGTACAAACTTGTTCATCTCTTCTATTTTAGGGGTTTTGCTCCTGGCTAACTGCTGTCTTCCGCATTAAGTGAGTCTGCCTCCTGATTATAACAAGGCAGCTATACCTGTGAACCCTTATCTGAATGTTTTTTTTTTTCTATATCCTCTCTGCAGGGAAGAAGAAATAAGGGAAAAGTGTGGTGAAGATGCAGTACATTATTTATCCTTTCAGCGGCACATCATTGGGCTGCTCGTAGTGGTGGGTGTGCTCTCTGTGGGCATAATTTTGCCCATTAACTTCTCAGGGAACCTTTTAGGTGAGCAAACTCAATTTTTCAATTTACAATAAATTTTTGTGTATGTGTCTCTTTTTAAAAAATATTTTTCAAGAGTGTCTTTTGTTGCAGACCTGCACTGTCAGGACCCATCGTTGCAGACCTGCAAAATGGGGTCTCCTGTGCGCAGAACCTGTTTGCTGCCAGATTAGAGTTTATGACAGGGTTAAACTAAACACAGTAGCAGTTTAAATTATACAGTAACCTACCAAACTCCATTGTCGTTAAGAAAATGTCTCATAGACCAAATGCACTTTTCCATCCAGTGATCCAAATATAGAAACTTATTTCTATGCAGCACATATCTATTATTCCAGATAGGAGTTTGGTGGGGAGTAAAAATGTGCGTGTACATAAGTTTCCAGCATAACAACACCTATTGGTGAAAGGTAGCTAGCTTCACTTGAAGTTTATTAATGCTAGCTTTTACTTTAGAAAGGCTTTGAATCAACTTTGCTTTTACTTTGAAAGTCTTTCAAATAACTTCCTGTGCAAACAGCGCAGGAGACCTCACAGTGCAGGTCTACAGCCAGACCCCTCTCATATTTTTCCCCCATTTATAGAGTAATGCAGCAAGTCTTTATTATAATTTAACTTTTTATGCACAGGAGGTCAGATGTGTACGGTAAATAATTAAATGTGTGACAATTATATTTTGCACCTGTTATCTTTAAGGCTATAGCACTAGTAATAAAACCGTATTCCATGTTTCATTTTTCTCTTTTGACTTTTCTTGTAACAGCTGCTATGTGCTGCTGCTTTTCTACTTGTTTTTAGTTTCACATTGAAAACGGCTATTAATGGCTGCTGACATTTATTTTTTTTTAAAGTGAAGTGAAAAAGACTCAATTGATGATAAATCAGCTTTTATTTCTGTTTAGGTTGTGAATTATACATCTGTCTTTGAGGAATATTAGTATTTAAATTATACAACCACAGCTGTTATAAACTGCTTGCCTTTTTTTTGTTCCTCTCTCATTTTAATAGAAAACTCTCCATCTAATTTTGGGCGAACCACTATAGCAAATCTAGACACTCAGTAAGTCTCTCTCTCTCATGTAATCCATTCATTTATTTAAACTGCATTTTGTGGATTTTTAATTATAAAATGTTCTGCTCTTGTTTTTGCTACAGCACTAAACTACTATGGTTGCACACTACCTTTGCATTTCTCTACCTATTATTAACGGTGTACAGCATGAGACGGCACACGTCAAAGATGCGCTACAAAGAGGATGATTTGGTATGGATCGTTAAATTTGGAGATTCTCTACTTTCTGTAATAATATCTCAGGTGTCGTTGGTATTTACTTCTGTGTTGTTTTCTCTTTCCTTTAGGTGAAACGTACTTTGTTTATTAACGGGATATCAAAATATGCAGAAGAGAGGGAGATAAAGCTACACTTTGAGTGAGTTGTTTTAGCTGCTTTGACTGTTAACATCTCCTCACTTTGCAAATTCAAATGAGTGTTTTAAATGTGAGAAATGATGCAACTGCTGCATATCAACAGAAGTTTCTGCTCAGTCAATCTGGATTGAGAGCCTTGATTAATCTGTCTTAATTTGTTTTAATGTCCCATTGTGAGATTCGCACCTTCTGCTCTTCCTCAGAAGTAATTATCCCAGACCTTAAATGGTCATGGTCATTGTGGTGTCTGTAGATTTTCACCTAGTTTTAGGTTCTCTTCATTGGACGAGACCATTCTGTTGTATACTTTGATATAAAATGTGTTAGTAGCTAGTTTTGTTTTTTCAGATTTGCTTTTATACGTCCAACATTTGACAAGCTTTTGTCTACCATCTGAAAAAAGACATCCCCACAGAATGATGCCGCCACCACCATTATTAATCACAGTGATGGTCTGTAAATAATGATGCTTCGTTTACTCCACAAACACTTTTTTATAAACCAGCAAAGGAGTATCTTTCTGTATTTATTTTACTGTATTCCCTACATGGCTTGTGGCAGACTGCAAACAGGCCTGAATATGGCTTTCTTCCAACAATGACTGTCACCCTGTCGCTCATCCGTAGAGGGCAGATTTTTGGTATGCAGTTTTCGTGTCAGCAGTTGTGCATACCTGAGATGCACCATTTTCTCAGTAACTCTGAGCTACTTGGCTGATCTTCAATCAATGCTTTCCTTTCTTAGCCTAGTCAGTTTATGTGCTGTGACATGTTTTGATGTGTTAGCAACTGTGTCACACTCTTACCCTTTTAGATCAATAACTGAACTGCGTAGGGTAATATTTTAAAACATAGGGACACTGTTTTATAACCTAAGCCTGCTTTTGAAGCCTTAACAAAACAGCCAGATTCATACTGTGTTTGAAAGCTACACATAGGAGGACTTGGTTTACCAATTAGGTAACATTTAAAGGCATTCAATTTATGAGTTATAAATGACTACAGGTATCATATTCCAGTAAATACATTGAAGGTCGTGGTTGTAACAATAAATGTGGAAAACCTTAAGAGCTATAGTTTATAACTGGCCTTGGACATGTTAAATCAGTTGATATGTTAGTATGGACATAATAAGAGTAGTAGCCATATTAAGATGTATGAGAGACATGCTTTTTCTTGTTAAAATGGCTGTTCTACCCCCATTCCTGTGTCTGGATAAGACAATGTCCAGCCTATATGTGGAATTGTCCATAACAGAAATCAGATGAGTAGAATTACAAGAGTCATGTGTCAGGTTGGTCTGAAGAGGTTATTGTTTCTGTCCTACATAACTGATCATGTAGTTAAAGATTATTTTAGATAGGGGATGTTATTTGTGAGAGTTATTGATTATGTTTTGTTGGGCAAATGTAAATAATTGTATTTTTTATAAGTTTGTACGTCTTTTATACTTAATCTTTTCATTCTCATTGCGTCTTTTCTCAGGCAAGCATATGAAAACTGCACTGTGATAGAAGCTAGAATCTGTTATGATGTGGTGAAGCTGATTAACCTCAATACTGAAAGGTAATGGATAGTAACAGCTTTTTGAGTTGCATTTCATAAATGTTTCTTATTCCTCCCCTGACAGAAATAGCTCTTCCTCTGTCTGACATGGCTGTTGTGTTATTTTTATTCAGGAAGAAGGCAGAGCGCAGCAAGAAATTCTTTCTGGCCTTGCAGGAAAAGGACGATAGTATAACTATGGTTAACCCCAAGCCTTGTGGACACCTTTGCTGTTGTGTCATTAAAGGCTGTGAACAGGTAAGAAACACATTTTTCTGTTCAAAGAAAAATGTCTAAGTAAAACTAATCTGTTGGATACATTACTTCTACTTTTTCTTTTTTTTCATATTTTCATATTGGGCAAAAAGTATTTATTCAACCACTGAAAGTTTCTCATACATAGAAACTTAGAAAGATCAGAGCTCTGTAATTTTCACCATAGGGTACTTGAACTATTTGAGGCACAGTGATTAAGAAAAAAAAAATAATCAAGCTAATCAAATTGTAGGATTTTTAAAGAATTTATTTGTAATTGTGGTGAAAAACAAGGAAGACGTCTGGCCCTTAGAGACCCCTAACAGCTTCTTTAAGAAGCTCATCTGTTCTCCACACGTTACCTGAATTAACGGAACTTGTTTTAACTTGTTATCTGTATAAAAAACCTCTCCACAGACTCAGAATCCAAACTCCAGCATCAACCTTAACAATGATCAGAGCTTTTAAAAGAAACACAGATAACAACTGTAGACCTGAACCAGGCTGGGAAGTGTAAATCTTTAATAGGCAGGCAGGTTGGTGTGAATGAGTCAACTGTGGGAACAATTTTAAGAAAATAGAAGAAATAATAGACCATTGATAATCTGGAGATCTCATCCTATGGGGTCAAAAATTATAAAGAGAAGAAAAAACCCATGAACGACATGGAAGAGCTGATGAATGACCTTCAGAGAGCTGGGACCAAAGTAACAAAGGCCACCATCAGTAACGCACTACGCCCAGAGTGACTCCCAACCTGCCGGGCTGGGTGCGTCTCCCTGTTCAATCCAGCACATGTCAAGGCTTGTCTGCAGTTTTATCAGAGAGCCACTTGAATGATTCAGAAGAGGACTGGGAGAATGTCCAGCTAACTGCCCTGCATACATCCTGTTCCAACAGACCTGAAACAAAAGGCCAAATTTTCTATGTTTCAGGTGTATTGAGCAAACCTGGAGAGTTTTCAAAAAAGGCTATACTATAGAATATTTAGTTGAACTTTTTTTATTAGAGTTGCACAGGTGATCAGCTTCTGGCTTTGTAAACGTCCAAGTTTTCCCCAATAAAGCTTGGTGGTTTGAATACCACCATGAATATAAAAGCAGCTATTGGTACTCTTAAGATTGTGGGCAAGTCTTGCTCAGAATATCCTGAACAACAGCTCCACAAATCTCTTCAGCACAGGGAAGCATGATTTTTCTCTAAAGCTTTGTGGTAGATGACTGAAGACTGTTGATGATATTCTTATTTACTGTAACAGATGTCTGTTTCTATTTCTATAGGAAGAAGCTGTGAGTTATTACACCAAACTGGAGTCAAAACTGAGAGATGAATACAGGAAAGAGAGAGAGAGAGTTAATAAGAAGCCTTTAGGAATGGCCTTTGTCACCTTTCAAAATGAAACCACAACTGAAAGGTAAGTCAATTTACGAAAGCCCCAGGATCGGTGTTAACCAGGTAATAGAAATCCTGGGTAATTCATTAGCGTTTTCCCATTAAAAGCCCTTTTTTTTTCCATGAAAAGCCAGTCTACAGAAAATAAATAGTTCCTTTTTCTACAAGGAAAAGTGAAAGAGCTCTGCCATGTCACTGCTCCATTAATTCAAACAATTTTCTTAAAACTATGTCAGAACAGTTTAATACCTATATTAACCTAAACTGGCACAACACTACATTTTATATCCCAGCATTGACAATTTTACCTCATTAAAAAATGTATACAAATTTATCTCATGAATTTTTTATATTCATTACAGTGAAGTAAAGCGGGAAGGAAATCCCTGAGCCCCTGGCTGGGTTATACAGCTTACTACTACTGCCACCAGATTAGCTTATATGAGAGGGTCTCCACCACTCTATAAACATATTAAAAGTAAAATCATAATCTTGATCAACTGACTACACAGGTGAAGTTTTAAGGTGTACATCCCCACTTAAAAACATCTACAAACTAAAATCTAATAAACTTTAATTGGTGGGTAATGACAGACTGACCACCACTAAGCAGCCACCACTGACCTGCCTTAAGGACCCAAAGCTCAACCATTTGATATAGATTTACCTGGGTAAATGTGCATGGAAATGGTATGTGGGCTTTCTAATGGCAATGGAAAAAAGGCTTGTTTGGTCTCTGAGCTGGTAAAATTTGTTTTGTTTTTTTCCTGTAACATGTTTACTTTTTTCTTCTAGTTTTTTATTTTCATGTTTTCTCTCTCAGAATTTTAAAGGACTTTAATGCTTGCAAGTGTCAAGGTTGCGATTGTCGCCGTGAAAGCCAGGCCTCTCAGTTCAGCCCCAGGCTGCAGACACACAACTGGACCGTCACCTATGCCCCCCATCCACAAAACGTCTACTGGTGAGAACAAACACTCAGTCACATACTAAAAACAATATTTGAATATGATTAATTAATATGCTTAATAGGAAGCAATTCTTTCAATGTCAAACTACTAAATGTGTAAGACTTTTTTGTAAAAAAAAACTCTTTGTCTTTGATATGTTTTGCTTTTTTTAACTGAGATATTAGTTTTCTGGGCAGCTGTGTCCATTTCTGCAGGATATCACACCATGTGTTTCTCACCGCTGTGTGATCTCTTTTCCCACAGGGAGCACCTGTCAGTGGGAGGAATCAAATGGTGGCTCCGCTGCTTTGTTATCAACTGTGTCCTCTTTCTCCTCTTATTCTTTTTGACCACCCCAACCATCATCATCTCCACCATGGACAAGTTTAATGTCACCAAACCAGTGGAGAACTTACGAGTAAGTAAGAATCTCCAAATCTGGAAATGTTAATTCATTTATTCATTTAATTTGGTCATTTCTAAAGTTTGGGTAATTCGTGGAAAGGTAAAACTAAAGTAAAATGATTATTAAAAAAAAGTTTAATCCATATTTATTAGGTTTATAGAATTAAATTATCTTTGATAGATTTAGTTTCTAACCATGCACTTTGTTTTGTTTGCCACAAACAACTTCATTTATTTAGTTTTTGAGCTGCTAACAGAAACCCCCCCATACTCATGTAAAGTTTAAAAAAAAAAAATCAATGTTTTTGGCTTTTAGGTCCTTTAACATCTGTCTTTAGAACTAAACCCTAATGTTTTGTATTACTAATCACAAACCATTTTAAAGGATCTTTAGGGATGTTTCAACACCAGTCTTTTTCTGAGTACAAATACTGATATCTTAGTACTTTCCTTTGCCCAGTGCCAAAAAAATGTTTGTCAAATTTAAAAGGTTTGATTTTATTTTCTAAAATGCTAAGCCAACTAAGTCAACCTTTTACCCCTTGCATTCAGTACAGCTTAGATACAGTAGACGAGGCTTTTTCCAGCAGGGAAGGGCCTCTTGACTGCTGCAGCTAGGGTAAACTTAATTGTTTTGATACTGTAAACTTTTTCTAATATAGAAGTAGTATCAGATCAGATCATACACTAATCTAAGTTTGTCTAGATGCCAAAAAAGTTGAAATTGCTAATTGTTGAAAAAGAAATAATATAACAAGACCATGCAATTGTTCTGCACCCATATGTCCAAAGTATATTGATGGTAAACTTGGGCATGTTTACAAAAATCTCTTGTAAATGCCAAATTGTCCCTAAAATAATCCAATTTAAGGTAGCATAAATCTTGTCAGGTTTGTGTTAAACATTTTGTTTTCAGGTGATTCACGATTTTCTTGTGAAACAGCCCTTCAGCACGTTGCTGAATCAGGCCAATTTTATTGGGTCATGACTTGTGGAAACTGGAGGCAATGATCTGCCAGTTTGTAAATGTCGGGCAAATAAACTGATATTCGACTTTTTTTTAATTCTAGAATCCCATCATAACCCAGTTCTTACCCACAATCCTCCTGTGGTCTTTCTCTGCCTTGCTTCCTACCATTGTTTACTACTCTGCCTTTTTCGAAGCCCACTGGACCCGGTATGTTGAATATTTAGTACTCCTGTTGTCTATTTATATCTTAAAAGCTTGATGTTTAACATGTGTGAGTTTATCTGGGATCACAGGTCAGGAGAGAACAGAACCACAATGCATAAATGCTACACCTTCTTGATCTTCATGGTCCTGTTGCTGCCCTCTCTTGGACTCTCAAGGTGTTGCATTTTATTTTCATTTTTGCTTTGTAACAATATTGAAATGTTATATGAGATATTTTTTGTAAAACATTGTAATGTTTAACATTAACACCTTTCAATTATTTTTGCAGTTTGGATTTTTTCTTCCGTTGGCTTTTTGACAAAAGTTTCCTGGATAATGCTAAAGTGAGATTTGAGTAAGTAGGGAGTTCATTTATGCTGTTTCCTTGGAAGTCTTGTCCCACTTGTATGTGGGACTTTTACAGTCCTAATTAAAAATCCAAAAAAGACCATTGGAAATGTACATATGTGACCTCTGGATCTTAAAATGGCTCAAAGTACAGAGAAAAGGGGTCAGACTAAAAGAGTTTGGAGCAGACTTTGTTTTTTTTAAACTATCTAACTAAAATTAACTGTAGGACTCGGTAATGGAGGCTCCAGTATTGTTTATTACACCAAACAGGCATTCAGGTATGTTTGATGCAAGTGTTTCCATGATGCTAGTCAAAAAGTTGCTCCAAGTGTGTAATGGCTTTAATTAGTGCTAAGACAAGTCCCCTTAAGATTTAGTCATATGGGATGATTGCAGCAGCATCTCCTCCTAGTTAACTGTTGTTTGCCACCTCTGCAATATCTGCAGTTTCATTGATCCAAATCATGATTCGGAATCATCAGTCGTTAGACACACTAATACTACAGATTCTCTTATCTCGGCACATGAATGCTGCATTATGTTATTGTTCTCCAGGCAGCCACGGGCCTTTACCTCATCGTGGCAACGTTCAGCTAATCATATAGTGTAACATAAGATCTGGTACACACTGGTAATGTGGAAGCCATCCTTTAATGTTAATTAAAACTTCCTTTCACCTTTAAATTGGTGCTCATTTGAATGTTCAAATGGCCAAGTCTTTCAAAAAAGTATTTTTTCTTTTTTTATGAACCCCTTTCAAGCCATTTAATGGGTATTATGCTGTTGTTAACACCTGTAATGTCCTTAATTTGTGCCTGAATTACAACCAATCGAATTCTGTGGCCAGTGACATTTTTGTTCCATGACCCTTAGGAACAAACTTCAGCAGATATTGCACAATATAAGAGGCCTTGCTTTTACATTTCAGCAAAACTCCCACGTTCAAAGTCAGTCAGCTTTATTGCCGTTGATAACAGTAGGTATTGTATCAACACTGCTGAAAATGACATAGAATCCACATGTTTGCCCAGATTTTGTTTTTAAAGGCTGCACTCGTCAACTCATGATTAGCTGTTATAAAAACTGTAATAAAAATGGGAGCCACTTGTTCCTATTTAGCGCTCAACCATCATGAAGCTCTACTTTTTAGCATTCATTAGTGTTAAATACCATTTTTTTTAAACTTTTTTAATTAATCTTAAAATGTTGGTCAAGCATGTATCATAACTACATTTCTGTCCAGTTTCTGGATATTCCAACCAGCTTGTGAAGCTTTGCTTAACGAAGAGCAATTAAAGCACCAGTAATAAATAGCTGTGTTAAATTAAGAATTCTCTCATGTTCTAATGGGATTTTCCATCTCCTGAGACTCTTGTGCCCTTTTTAGGTCAAGTGAACATACAGTAAACGGTAGATATTGTCACCAGAAGTAATTTGTGCTGTTCCAACATGTGTATTATTGAGTTCAGAAATGTTTTTTTTTTTTTTCTTCTGGACTCTAGCTTGTAATGATGCTAGTTATCTCAACTTATTTCTTAACTATATCTTTTTGAAATGGTAGTTTGCACATCATTTCATATTGTCGTCTGCCTGATTAATTAACTTTCACAAAGATTAAATTGTATGTTTGGATCAAAGAGTTACTACCTACTTGAGTAGCCAAATGTTTTTCAGCTTTTTCTTTTAAAGTATTTTTATGGATGACTGCTTCCCAACTGTACTTTGGTAAAAGTATAATAAAGAAATGCTACTCCTGCTTGGCTGCTTTACCAATCACTGTTATGTGGCTGCACTGTTTCTCTGTGAAAATTATGCTTAGAGGTTAAACCTTTGTCCTTATCTTCTGTTTTATTTTCTTAGGTGTGTGTTCCTCCCTGACAATGGAGCTTTCTTTGTCAACTATGTCATTGCTTCTGCTTTCATTGGTAATGCTAATGACCTGTTGAGGATTCCTGGATTGCTTATGTACATGATCCGACTGTCCCTGGCTCGCTCTGCAGCTGAGAGGAGGAATGTCAAGAAGGTAAGTCTTCACCTCATGATCCCAAACACCAAAAGTTAGTTAGAGACTGAAAACATTGCATTAATCAGTCTTGTAAGGAGATCGGAACAGTTATTGTTATAATTATGTTTCTGCGTAAAATAAAACGTATTAAACTGTTTTTTTTTGTTTTTTTTCTTTAGCATCAAGCTTATGAGTTCCAGTTCGGAGCGGCTTATGCTTGGATGATGTGTGTCTTTACTGTGGTCATGACCTACAGCATCACCTGCCCAATAATTGTCCCTTTTGGTGAGTCCTACTGCCTGGTTAGTCTTTTTTGCCATAAATAGAGTGCACGGATAAGATGGCCGGAGGTTAGCCATGCACAGGACAGGCAACTTGCAGTGGTTCTGTTCTGCATCCAGAGGCTTATCTACAGGACTAATTGGATTAGACCTGCTGATTTCTTTCTCTTTCGGCCTGTGCAGGACTGATGTACATGCTGCTGAAACACCTGGCAGACAGATACAACATGTACTACGCCTATCTACCATCAAAACTGGACAAGAAGATCCATTATGGAGCTGTTAACCAAGTGGTGGCGGCTCCCATTCTCTGTCTCTTTTGGCTTCTGTTCTTTTTCACTGTTCGCGCTGGTAAGGGCACAGCTCCCTCTACTGGTCACATAATTAGTCATTAAACACAAATACTCTCCCCACTTTATTTTAAAAGCTAAAATAAATGTGATAACCCATTGAATAAATGTTTTCTCTTCTGATCCTCTCCAGGGTTTACTTCTGCAACATCCATGTTTACTTTTGTGGTTTTGATTGCCACAATCATCATTTGCCTTTCTCATGTCTGCTTTGGGCATTTTAAATACTTAAGTGCTCACAACTACAAGGTTTGCTTACTTTCCTTTAATGCCTCCTTTGATTACTTTCAAATGACAATATTTACATCTGCCTATGGTGAATGTCTCTTTTCCTCTTCAGATTGATCAGGAGATGGACGAGGTGGAGAGCGCACGTTTAGAGCGCCACATCACAACGGTAGGAGCACGTTCTTGTTTCTTCTTCCTTGACTTAAAACTATGGCTTAATCAGCTTTAAGCTTATGTAGGTACTCAGTCTGGAGGTTAAAATCCAAGGAAGTAGACTGTAAACAACATCAAGAAATGATTTAGTTTATTTCTTATACTATATCAATTAAACTTAGGAACTTAAATATGAAAGATGGTGACAATCTTCTGTACAAAAAAGAGGAAACACAAAAAAGAAAATCTTTATGGTATACAATGGGGCTGAAACGTATTTAGTCAGCAACTGATTTTGTAAGTTCTCCTATTTAGAAAGATTACAAGTCTTTAATTTTAATTATAGGAACCCTTTAGCTAAGAGAGACAAAATTAAATTGTAATGTACGGTTTCTTGGTAATTTATTAGTAAATTGTGGTAAACAAGCAAGATGACAGGCCCTCACAAATCTGTGACTTCTTCTTTAAGAAGCGCCTCTGTCTTCTACCCGTTTCCTTTATTAATGGCACCAAGTTGAATTTGTTATCTGTATAAAGACACCAATAACAGTCAGCCTCCAAACTCAACTTTGGCAAAGACCAGAGCTGTAGAAGGACACCAGGAAGATAACTGTAGACCTGGCAGGCTGGGAAGAGTGACTCTTCAATATTTAGGCAGGTAGAAGTGAAGACATAAACTATGGGAGCAATTATATGAAAATAGAAGACATACAAGACCATTGATAAAATAAACTAGGCATTGGGTACCTACACAAGATCTCACCCCACTGGGTCAAAATGATAATGAGAAGAAAAACCCCAAAACTAAATGGAGGGAGATGAAGGACCTGCAGAGAGCTGGGACCAAAGTAACAAAGGCCACCATCGTTAACACACTACGCCCAGAGGGACTCTCATCCTGCTGTGCCAAGGTCTGTCTGAAGTCTGTCAGAGAACATATGGATGGTGATGGAGGATTGGAAGAATTTCATGGCGAAAGATGAAACCAAAATAGAACTTATGGAAAAACAAACTCTCCTCTTGGGATTTGGAGGACAAAGGAGGCTGAGTTGGTATCCCAAGAACACCATACATGGGGGTGGAAACATAATGCTTTGGGGCTGTTTTCATGCAAAGAAGACAGGATGGCTAAGGATCCGTTTATCTGAAGAATGAACCGGATAATTTATAGTTCATTTTAAGAGAATTCTTCCTTCTATCAGTAACCTTGCTGGATCTTCCACCACAACAGTGATCCCAATCACACTGCTTCGACAATGGAGTCGCCAGCCTCCAGACCTCAACTCTATTGAAAATCTGTGGAGGGAGTTGAAACTTTGTGTTAACCAATAAAAAGTCTCAAGTCATCCAAACTATAGAAGAGAATGGAAGAGTGGACCAAAATAGCAGCTACCGTGTGAGCAAACCTGGGGAAGACTGACAGGAAATGTTCAACCTGTCAGTCAGAACGAAGATAAGGCAACAAAATATTGAGTTGAACTTTTATTATTGACCGAATACTTGTTTTCCTACATAATTTACCAATAAAGTTTTTAAAATCTACAAAACTACAAAAAACAGAACAGGTCCACTAGTGCTTCCTGTTATAAAGAAATACTGAAAGTAACAGAAAAGTGCTGATGGGCATCCAACCAGAGAATGGGGACAGTTTCTGAGTGGTAGGTTGATTTGGTAGATCATGGTTATCAATAAAAAACATGGTTTGTATCTAGACTCGCTCCAACTCATTACAGAGATTTAGAGGAGAGTGTGCTACTTTTAGAACCCATAAAGTCAGTTGGTAATACCCAGGAAACGTAGACGGAAATTACTGTATACAGTTTAATATAAAGACATACAGAACTCTAAATAAATAAGCCTGTTTGTGATGAATACATTTGTGCTGTTGTAGATAATTAACACTCTTATTTTGTTTTCTCCCCTACAGCAAATGTACATATGTCAGGTACTTCAAGATCTCCAATCAGAGGAGGCTGCATCAGGCAGCGGAGAGGACGATGGGCAGGGGTCCTCACAAGATGAGGAAATTATCCAGACTGATAACAACCTGACCGCTGACTTCCAGTCTGGGGAGGACAGCCTCATTGAGAACGAGGTGCGGCACTGAGGCAGTCTGGGAGAGGAAGACAGGCACCAAGTAAAACTTGATGAGTGCACTCAATGTGTGAAACTAACATGGCACTGGACCAGCAGTTCACCAAAGCATCAAAGCCTCCATTGAGGGAACTTATCCTAACTAATATAAGCACATCGTCTACTAAAGGTTAAAAGGTTGCTTTGAAGGACGTTTTCTTCATTGGGTCTCGTTATATTACCGTGTACCTGAAGAGAAAATCTAACAAGCGGAAAAACGAGACTGAGCAGTGCAGATTGATGAAAGAAGACTGATGCACAAAGGAAGACTTGGTGCCTTTTTTTGGGGAGAGAAGCTCTCTTTTTTTCTTAACTTTTTGCACTTGAAGAAAAAAAACTGGAAAGCTCAAGTTTCTCTGAGGTACTGCATCATGGCATGCAAATTCAAAAGATGGAGCAGCTTTTTTTTAATAAAGCTTTGTCTGTCAGCATTAGATGCTTCCATGAATAAGCAGCCTACTAATGTCAGCTGATTAATTTGAGCTCTAGTAATGGACTTAAACTGTTTTTTTCCAAATCCATAGAAGTTTATAAAGATGAGAAATGTGCTACTAACACTCCTGGAAGCTCTGACACTACATCTACACAACTAAAGTAGCCTTTTTTATATTTATTGCAAGCAGAATATTTTTTTGAAATACTATCCAATCTGGTGCAACTTTAAACTGTGGAATACGGTATTTAATTGATCTCATAGCACACCACACTGTTGCAATGCTTTCCCTCTGCCTCTGAGCCTTTTAAGGACCTGCTGCTGTGTCGGACCTCTGCTGCTGATGTTACCACTGGTGGAAAACTCTCGCCCAGCTGCTCCAACCGAACTGAAAGCTGAGAATGTTGCTCAGAGGCGATGTTTTTTTAGATCACAGTATGAATACTTCCTAATGAAATGTTTTCATTTAAATCTTATTGTGAATGTTTACAGCTTGACGTAGAGGTTTAGATAAAAAAAAACATCAAGTTTAGATGACCTGCTAATAGTTCTTCAATTGGGTATATGAATTTCCTACACATCCTTAATTTCCATTTATTTTTTTTCACGCTTTTTTAAATCACTGTGCCTGTCAGATGTTATAATTACACAACAAACTACTTTAAAAACGTTTAAAGATATGACAGGGTGCACAAGCTTTTTGATATAATGCAAACTAAACAGACTTAAATAAAATATGCAGATACATTTCCACAAGTGACACTTAAATGCATGTCTCTAAGCAGCCTGTACAGAAACCACTAATTTTCTTTAGGCGTTAAAAGATTTTCTGGTATTAACTTTCGTCCTATTAATGTTTTATCCTTTTTTCATCATATCTTACAAAGCAGACTTATTGGCATGAAGTACTGGAACTGTTCACAAGCTTTATTTCTTACTGTATCCACTCCATGTGAGGTGGAGGTCATTTCCCTTTGCACATAAATGTGCCCAAATTTCCGCCACCAGGGTGTTAATTCGAGCTGAAGCTAAATTATTCAATCATAGTCGTTATTTTTTCTATACCCAGTTGCATTTTGCTGCTATTACTAGAAGTGAAACAGCTTCTTGGCATGATGCTGCCACCATCGTGTTTTATAATTGGCACAAAGTTCTAATGTTTCAAAGCTTTGCCATGATGCCTCCAAACATACATCTGGTGATTATAATTTGACTTCAGTCCCTTTGGAAGCATTTGATATCGGTCTATTCCCTATTAAGACAGTAACACTGATGTTTCAGAATCTTCCAATTATTATTCTTGAGCTTTTTCAGTTCCTCATAATCCCAACTCATTTAATCTTAAGGTCAGGCGGTTAAAAGTCGGACATCAATTGGTGTTTCAAAGCAACAATCTTTAACACTTGTCCAAAATGGCTAAAGTGACATTAAGCTCCTCAACTCTAAGGAACATTTATGCACTTTTATGTTTTAGAGAAAATACTTGATGAAGTTAACCTTATTCTCTCAATGCATGTTTTTAAGTTTCATTGAAGTTATTACTTTTTAAATGATTCCAGATTCAACGCATAAAAAATTATTACTGTATGTACACTACTGACCTATACTAGGTCGGATGCACAAAGTTCTTGTTGCTCCCAGTTTCTACAGCAGCCGAGTAGATTAATTCAAACAAATTTTTTGCAGTAACATGTCAGATTTTGGTTCTTGGCTGCAGAAGTGTTGAGCTCTAACATTGGATGGACAGGTGGAAGATGTTTCCCTTTTTCTCTTCCGTACCATGAAAGGAATGTAATTATAAAGGCAGAATATGATGTCATGTCTGCTTCTGGAGCTGAGGGGAAATCATTTGGTAGTTCATCACACACTGATGTCTCTGCTACAGGGATGTCTTCATGCTAAATACCTTCCATCTTGAATAGTTAACACATTCATGATTAGCCTCAGCTAGCAGAAGTAGCTTCTGGATTCTAACCAAACATCAAATGCTATGTAACAAATGATATCAAACCCTAGTGCCCATGCAGTTTCTCAGGATCTTTTTAATTTTTTTTTTTTACTTTTTTAAAAGAAACTAACTAATGCAAAAAAAAAAAAAACTAATCAATCACTGTTGAATATTATGCACTAATATTTTATATCAATAGAATGTTCTTTCTCACTGATATGACTGATGCAGAGGAGCATGCAGTTACTTCTTCCATGGGGTTTGTCGGCACATTACTTTGAATATGGAGGTTTTGAGGACGACTCTAGAACTGACACTACTGCTTTTACCTGCTGCCTCTGTTGTCATGATTGGATGAGCTGCTTTAAATCTTAGATAACTGGAAAAACCTCTGAATGTGTCCTGTCAGGGTAACAAACAACGTCACATTGTGAGGGAGATATTTGGAATCTCAGCTTCTGTGTTTTAGTGCTGAATATAGTCTCTGTTGGATAAATACAAAATAATTAATGAATATCTGAATGTTTTCTCTTGCTAATCAGGAAATGGCCATTTTTATACTGTAACAAAAGTCATGTATGTCTAGTTCTGCGTCTTGGCATTTCATCAGTGCGAATTGATCATTTGTTTTATGTGTTCTTTATAGATGGTTGAAAAGAAACTGGAAATGAATGGCTTATTGTAAAAGGCCGAGCTAACAGATTGCCCTCTTAATGTTTCCACTGTATGTTTAGAAAAGATGGTAAAATGTTTCTTCACACTAAAAAGTTTAAATGTCTGTTTTTGTTTTGTCGAGTTCTTTGTGTTGAAGTAGCAATTGGGGATTTGAACCTTTAACTTGGTTTATCATTCTCTCCAATACCACATCTGTTCAGCAGATATAGGATGTTGTGTATGTCTATACTGCTGTGGAGTTTTCTCAACAATAAATCTTCATCTAATCAACATTGGCTGATTAGTCTCAGTTCATCTATTTCCTGGTATGATCTACATGTATGGTGAGGGATAAAAACCCTTTCTTCCATACATTTTGTGATCAGTTATTCAGTTTTTGGAGCTCAAAAATAACTTTTTTTTTTTTAGCTTTGAAGACCTCATTGAATAGAACTTGGCTTTAAAAGCGGATATATACATATATATAGTTCCTACCTTTCATAAGTCAGATGCTGGCCTAACTTGACTTTAGTTTATATATTTTGTGAAGAAAAATACTATTGTTTTCTAATAACATATTTATTTTCTAAGCTCTATTAAAGGTAATTTTTATATCTTTTTCCCACATATTGCTCAAATAAATGGCAGGAATTCATTAAGTGATTTTTTTTCTGCAATGCATGATTTTCTTTCTTATAGATAACCTTTCTTTATGTATTATCTAAAAAATGTTATTATCCCAATTTCTATTAGTTATAGCCCAGTGATACCAGTATACTGGCAACAAAGCTTCAAAAAACCTGATGCGCAGCTGGGAGCCGGTTTTCACACTGCCCAAATACCTTTTATTACGGTATTATTGTTACTTCAAAATAAAAGCAGACTTCCAAGATGTCTGACCATTTTCATAATTTTAAAAACGTTTTATAATTTATATAGGCTATTTAGAATATATACAATTCTTGTAAGAAAATTAATTCAGTATCGCTCTGTCAACTGTAAACCTCCTGCAAATGGCGTTCTAGATGTTTGGTTATATTTAGGGAAATTTACTTGAGAAGCTTTGTTTTTTTGTTTTTATCTGCCCAGCCTTACTTTGGAGGTTATATAACAATAAATGATATATATTAGCAGTAGTAGTTTATCCTCCCCTTACACCAAGTTTAGTGGATTTGTTTAATTAGTTTTATGAAAAAAAATGATTAAGAAAAATGTATTTTCTGTCTGGATTTTTTTATTTTGCAATTATGTTATTTATTTGTATGAATATTTTATCGTGGACTTTGAAATACCAGAACTGTCACAGGCCTTTATATTTTTCTCCGTATGATCCATCGGCTTTATTGTTTGTTAAAGGGGTCCCCATTTTGGAATCAACATTCTTGTATAAACTATAAATAATCTCAGTTTGCTCGAATTATAATTTGGCTTTGATTGGCTCTATGTGTCAAAAGGAAGCTTTTAATTTGAAAGTAGTTCATAAGACGTACCGTAATAAACCGTACAATTGCGCACAGCTAAAGCGTGCCAGGTTCAGGCTGGCTGTGAGGGAGGTTCTCCAGGGGAAAGGGAGGAAGACAGAGGTGCGACGTGGAAACATAAACAAAAGAAGTAACGAGGAAACTTTGAGAGACCTTTTAGCTTTCTGGAGAACCTGACATAAATAAATGAGACGAGATTCAGCTAAAAGGTGATAGGACCTGGGAGGAAGCAGCCGTCGCCATGGACGAGGGGCTGACTATTACTTTTATATCTGTGGCGATGTTTATAGGCTCATTCCTGCTGGGATTCATTCCGCTGTTGTTCAGACTCTCTGTGGTAAGTTTTATTTTAACTCCCTCTTTTAAAAAAATACCAACAGGTCGATCTATCAGTATAGATCTAGTATATTTTAATCTTTTAACTCGCTTAATAGGGATGATGCTCGTCCAGGGGCGGTCAAAGGTTAAAAAGGGGCTCTTATTAGGGGCTTAATTGTAATTAATTGTATGAGTAATAATTATTTGGTGGAATTTTTAATAAAGGTCTAGATCATTGTAGAATTAGGAAAGACTATTCAAGTTTGTTTGTCTTGTGTTTTTGTCCATATGTATACATAGAAAATATCACTATTTTAAACACAATGTAAATTATTACACTTTAATAACAGAATAACATTATAATCAGTAACTTTACACATGTTTACTTCATTTTTTTAATGATAAAACAGCATAATTTACACCCTCTTGGGAAGTTATCAATTACTCTTGGCTTTTTTGCTATTTTTGTCACATTGCAATCTGTAATTTAAATGTTTTTATCCTTATTTCATGCTTAGGACCTGCATTAAATAGTCTTATTTGGTAAAGTGAAATGAGAAGTAAGTATGGGGTTGGTGCTGTTGAGATGGTGAGGGAATAGGGCTCCTGGGGGCACTTCCATTTTTATCTTTTAAAGTTGATATTTAGCAGAACTTGAACCTCCGCTGCTGTGCTGGGACATTTATTAACCTCTTGAGCACACTGCGTGTTTCTTTGAAGGTAACAAAACGAGCCAAGAGCATATGGCTGCAGCCTGGACACCCCTTCACGTGTTAGCCCCACCCCCCTGAAGCTCTTACATTAAAAAAAAAAAACTCATGTATGATATCATAACTGGTTTATCTTATCAAATTTCAGGTTTTAATGGTTAATTAATCTTGTTGCTTGTTGGGGGTTGACTTAAAAATGAGGTATAGTTGGGAGTCCTTTGAAGTTAGGGTTAGTTCAACCATTAGCATTTCCTGTCCCTGATGTGTTTAAACTACTAAATCAATTACACCGGGGTTATTTAATTGTTTTAGATACAAAAAACTCTTGTATTAAAACAGCTACTTGAGAAACTGTACTAAAATGTTCTGAGATCCACACTGTTGAAGCCCCCTGACCATGGGTCCAAATAACAGCTTCTATGGTTTATCTTTGGGTCTGGCTTAGTAGGTTTTTAAGAATAAAGCCTAAACTGATGTATTGAATTTCAAACCTGACAGAAAAGCCTGCAGTTTGTGTCCATTCTGGGAGCAGGCCTACTGTGTGGGACCGCGCTGGCCATCACTATACCTGAGGGTGTGGGCTTACTGGAGGATTCGTGGAGAGGTTTGAATTTTTAACAACCTGATTCCCATCCCTCTACCTTCTTTGTCTTTGGTTGCTTTGACAACTGTGACGTGATGCAGCCCATCCTCTCCCATTAAAATGTGCATGTTTCATTTCAAACCATTGAAGTTAGAGCTGTTCTCTCCTCACTTTGATCCCTTCCCCCTCCATCTTTTGTTTGCAGAATCCTCTGATTCTCCATTAGCACCAAACGCCAGTGAAGAAAGTGCATCTTCCAGCGATGGAAGCTCACCGCCTCGGTTTTATGTCAGCATAGCTTTGACCTTTGGGTTCACCTTCATGTTTGTTGTTGATCAGATTGGGGGATACTTTTCCAAGCAGGGTAAGTTTAAATAACTCACTTTTGGAGCAATGTTTTAGAGCCAACCTTCCATCACTTTGTTTATCATCTAAACACGTCTGATTTCAGATCGAACAACACAAATGTCGAACAACGCTCACATCACAGCCACCATGGGGCTGGTTATCCATGCTGCTGGTATGTTGTCTCATGAAATGTCACCTGAATATCCAGAACCTTCAGAAACTATTCACGCCTTGTGAAGTTATACAAACAAAAACCTTAACATATTTCATAAGGAATTTAAGCTGTTAAGCTGGGGTTTTTTTTGTGTTTTTTTATGCTGGGCTCCCTGTGAGTGCATAAGGATTCATAGGACACAAGCATGAGAAATCCCCAACAAATCCAGGATATTCATGCCCTCATGTGACTCAGCATAGGATTCATGCACTGTGTGATTTTTTTTTTTTTTTAGCCAAGAGGCCTTGACTTCAGACTCTTAAAATAAGTTTCCTTGAGCTAAAATCTGACTTCACACCCTATCAAAGCCATTTTAACACAGGCCACTTTTTTTTACTTTATAAGCTAATAGCCAATTAAAATGATCATTCTCGTCTCCAGCTGATGGATTTGCTCTCGGTGCTGCTGTGGCCACAGGCCAAGTCACTGTACAGGTGATTGTGTTTTTTGCCGTCATTCTGCACAAGGTGAGAGAAACTGTCACTAATTAAGCTGTGTAGTTATTTTTAAAAGATGTAAAAAAAAAAAAAAAAAAAGTGGATGACATCTGTGTTTTTTTGTTTTGTTTTTTTTGGCCTTCAGGCTCCTGCTGCCTTTGGTTTGGTTTCCTTCCTGATGCATGCAGGCCTTGAGAAGAAGTACATTCAGGGACATTTACTGGCCTTCTCAGCTGCTGCGCCTGTAGTCGCTATCAGCACTTACTTCATACTGCACGCTGTAACAGAATACACATTGGCAACATCTAGTGACACTGTGCTTTGCAGATTTAACCAATTGTATCTGTGTTTGTATTTTTCCACAGACTGGAAAATCCTCTGAGGACCAGCTTATTGCAACAGGAGTTGGGATGCTGTTCTCAGCAGGGACTTTCCTTTATGTAGCCACTGTGCACGTCCTCCCTGAGGTCAGCTACAGCAGGATAGAAGAACCCATCTCAAACAACCAGGAGCACAATGACGTTGTGACCCACCAGACCAGACACCTGGGGCTCCTGGAGAGCCTCACTCTCATCCTTGGTGTGGGGCTCCCTGTTGTGTTGGCCCTTGGACTCCACGATGACTGAAAGAGAATGAGAGTTTACTGCACGGTTAAAAAAAAAGAACACTCTCTTATTGCAGGAATGATATAAACCTGCCATTGTTTCTGCTTCTTTGGAGCTTTCCAGGTTTTGACAAGAGTTTTCTCTTTCACCTAAGTTTCCATTACAAGGAAACAAAAGAGGCATATTTTTTATGAGGAGGTACAAGTAAAATCACACCCAGTGGGTAGATTTACAGGTAGAACAAGAGAATAATTTGATACTGTCGTGCAAAAATGTGGAATCTAGCTTTTGCAGTTTGCACTACATTTCATTTTTATTTAGAGTTTAAAAACATCAGCTAAACATAAAGGAATGCAAACTGAATGAGACATTTCCCCTTGTGACTAGCTGATCCTTTTGTATTTATTTGCTTAGCTTAAATGCTGAGGAATCCACTTAAAATACATGAAAAATGCGAAGTTACTTTCTATTTTTGATGGATTTTTTTATGTGAAGCTTTACTTTTTAACGTGGCCCTATGAATGTTGTGTAATAAGCTTCAACATTTTAATTGCAGAGCCTTAAATCGAGCTCTGAAAACTAAATAACAATCTTTTTTTTTATTTGAGGATACCAAATAAGTAGTGATGAAATCCTTTGTATCTTGGCTGACACTACTACTTACAACCCCATTTTACTCATGTTATTGTTTCTGGGTTTTATAGTATTTTTACAAGGTTATATCCTGCTATGTTTTGCACAATCTCTCCAAATCACCTTGTGGATTTGGAGCCGAATTTTACTTTTGAAACCTCTCATTTTATCTTATAACTTTGGTGAATAATGCCAAATGACTGAAAAGTTTTAATATGTAAAGGTGATTAAAAAATATGTTTAAGTTGTTCTTTCTGGCTGTTTTCATTAAATATAAAGTCATCTTTTGGGGGAAACGAGTTGTAAACTTAGCTTTTTCGATGTTGTCTATCAAAATGTGTTGTGTCATTGAAAAAAAAAGTATTAAATTAAAAAGTATGTATATAAAACATAAAACAAGGTGATAAAAATCTTCAGATTCTGCAGAATTTTGTATCTGATATTTCCAAATAATGACAGCTTAATTCAGTGTTTTTTGTTGTTTTTTTTGTATCTGTGCAGTTTTATAGCCGAGTTTAGCTGGACTTACTTTGTTTTAACCATAAAAGAAAAACAACAGTGTTACATTGTGATAATAACATGACAGTTCAGCATTAAGCTATATCGCTTTCTATTGCTTAATGGTATTCATATCAGCATTTTAGCATCAGTTTTTAAAATAAACCTGTTAATAGATTAACTTTCTGAAGGAGAAAACACATTTTTCGGTTCCTCAGAGTCAACATCAGAAAATTTAATAGAAATTTATTTTATATATATTGCACAAGTTGCACTTATAACAGCTTTAAAAGAAGAGATGCTTTACTGAATGTCTTCTACCTCTGTGGACTACCTTCTCATAGCTCTAGATTAATGGTTTCATCAGAATAAGTAGCAAAAAGAAATATATAAGCAGGTAAATCATTAACTTGAAGTGCTTTTTAAGAGCATTGAACCTTGAACCTTTTTTTTTCATTAATCTTACCCACAAACTCCAGGTAATTTTATTAAGATTTTATGCTATCGTTTGCCACAGAAGCTGTTTAAAGGTTGTATTATTTGAATAAATCAGGGGTGTGTCCCACATAAGACATGAATGAAAAAAATATATATATAAAAACGTCCTTTTATTTTATTTACATGTTTAAGTTTATTTCCTTTGGTTAGATTAGGAAACAGTTTTACAAATGATATTCTTTAAGAGGACCATCAAGCTCTTACTTTTTTTTTATCTTTAGTCAGCATTTCTGATAGATAAAAGTTTATCTTTCCATTTAAAATTAAAGTTGAGGCTGTTAATAGATTTTGCAGGAAGGATTGTGTGAACATCACACTTCAGTCTGGTAGACGGCAGTAATTCCACCTTGGGTTGGTTCGTCCACAGTTAAATTCCAACAGAAGAAGAACAGGAAGCAGCCCTGTGCTTTACATTAGAGGGGGTTTTCGATTTCAGAGGCTACGTCCTCCAAGGGCGCGATCTACAAAAAAGGACTGGGTCCTTTGAGGTCCGTGAAAATAAGGAGGCCAGAAAAGTTTTGGCTATGGATTCAAACAGCTCCATTGTTCTTCGGATTTCATCGCCCGTACGTTCTGTCGCCTAGCAACCGTGACGGTTGACACCAAAGATATACATATACATATAAGCCTATGGGTGCTGGCATGATATGGTGGCGCCATCTTGGGGCGGTCGACAGCTCCGAGCCGTTTAATGTGTCGAGCAGGAACAGAATCAGTTTTAATCAGCTTTAACTCGCTGAATTTGTCTACCGCATAATGGCGAGTCTTCCAATACGAACAGGCCTAGTCGCCGCGCCATGACGTAAACGCAAAGAACGTTTCCTTCGGATGATGCAACCGCTGAATATGAACACAGCCCGTGCTTTTATTTAGACAAGTTCTATAAAACCTTCAAAACAACTTCCTGTCCATGAGCGCTGGAAAGTAGGAGGAAAGTTTTTGAATTTTTAAAGTAGCTTTTTTGAGTTTTATTTTAAATTCCTTTTGTTGTTTTTAATTGTTTTTATATTTCATCCCGTACGCACCAAGGTAGGTTTTATCGATTAAACCAAAATTTAAACGTTAACGGTTAACGTTAGCGTTATAGCTAGCGTTAGCTTTCATTTAACACCAATCTTAACCGTTAAGTTTAATTTGCAACTGTAATTGTGTGCTCAATAATTATCTAGGTACAGTAGTTTGTCCTTTTTGTCTTTAATATGTCGGTGGTCGACATTGGCGCCGGATGCCGGAGGTTGCTCTGGAACTGGAGAGTTGTCGGTTCAAATCCCGGTTTGGCTCAGTGTCGTTGTGTCCTTGGGCAAGACATTTCACCTACTGATGGTGGTGACAGTGTACTGCAGCCTTGCTTCTGTCATTGAGCCTCAGGGCAGCTGTGGCTACCATTTAGCTTGCCACCATCAGTGTGTGAGTGAATGACTGAATGTAGTGTAAGCCATCTGACTTGGAAAGAAGTGCTGTATAACTACTATTTTCATAGATATTTGTACATTAATTCAATTCAGTTTATTTCACAACACATGTCTAAAAGAGAATTTACTCGTTACATCAGCTCAAATAGTCAAAAGAAGAAGAAGAACAAGGTTCCAAAGGAAGAAAAAGGTGCATAGGATATATATACAGTTTATACAGTGCATCCGCATATTTGATATATATATATCTGTATATATATATATTAATATGCAGGATTATTGCACAGGGTGTTAACATGGGTATTTATATCTAGTTATTGTACTGGATGTCAAATATAGAGAAATAGCTTATTGCACAGGGTTTTAAATAGTAATTGCACTTTATACATTGCACAAGTTATTGCCGTTTTAGTGTTGCATTGTAGAGTCTGGTGGCAGTAGGGATGAATGACCTGCGGTAGCTCTCCTTTATGCAAACAATATGTAAAAGATGTATCTCCGTACTGGTTGAGTGTAACTAAATAGTCATGACTTTAGTAAACTTGCTCTATATTTCCTTTTGTCTTCATTTCGCTGAACATGACCTCTAGAAGACGAGAGATGAGAAAAGCCAGAGCGGGCGCTGATGAAGAGTCACCCCGGCAGAATGGGTCCTCCAGCCGGAGGAGGTCAGAGCAACAAGCGTTTGAAGGAGAGGACCCAGACTCGATCCCAGGAGGTCTGCAGGACAATGTCGACGACGACAACGATCAGGGCCGAAGGAGAGAGATAAGAAGCAAATACAGGGACCTCATCAACTCAGTCCAACGTCAGTTATTACTTTTTAATAATTGTTATAAGATGTATAGTTTTACTTATTTTCCAATGAATAGATTCATTTATCTTCTTTTGTTGTTTTCATTTACAGAAAACAGGGAAGATATGCTGAGTCCCTCCAACAACAAGCTCACAGAAGTCTTAGAAGAGGCAAATAAGCTTTTTAAAGAGGGTATGTGAAAAAGAAAATATTTTTTAATTAGGAACTAAATAATTCACGTGTTGACTGAATGTTTATAGAGTTAGACAGGAAGAAAACAGGATTTACAGGAACTTTTAGTAAAACCAGCATTATTTTTATGGTTGGTTGTTTTGACAATTTTAAAATTAGCTATAACTTTTATTTTGATAGTTACGGTTACAATTTATTGTAACCGTAACTATCAAAATATTATATTTATATTTAAATAATTATATTTACAATTTATTTTTAATTTTATGTAAACTCAGCATACTCCAACCCTTGCGTAGATTTTTGTACTAAGTATCCATAAAAAGGTGCATAAACTGTAAATATCCACAGTAATCATTTCAGCCACCATGTAGTCTAATGGAAGTTTACATTAATCGTCCAATAAATACCAGAAGTATTTACTACTGGATTTTATTTTTCTGCTCTCATGAGCGTTTTAAAATCCTCCTCCTCCTGCTAAAGCTGCTTTGTAAACATTGCACTTTGTGATTTTGCTTTGAGACTAAACTTCAGCCTCTTGGTACAACAGCTTTTCTAAATATTAGATCTGGCTTCGGCGTGTTTTTAAACATAAAATATTTCCACATTGCAGCTTTTATTACACAGAGCTGTTGACTGAGTGGATTCCAAGAAGTTTTCAGCTGTTTTCTCATTTCATTTTTAAAGCAATGTCACACTCTGCACATGACATGTGACGCAGTGCACAGCTTAGAAATAGACTGGATAGATCCACCCTTAGGGATTGGACATATTGGAACTGATTTCTGTTGTAGAATTTTTTGTCATCTGGACTGATACAGATATTAACGTGGGATTGTGGGTTGTATTTCTACTTTGAACTGATCTCATTGTACTCCAACAGTGCGACAGGCGAGAGAAGCAGCTCTGGATGCTCAGCTTCTTGTCGTGGCCACAGACTTGGGAAAAGAGAAAGCCAGCCAGCTGTTTTCTGAGGGCTGCGCGTTTGATCCCACTGCTTTTGCTGAACACTTGGTGAGTGCTTTTGTTGTTCTGATAAATTAAATTGCAATCCATATCTCAATTGGAGAGAAGCTTGTATGCAGTTTGAGTTTTTGTTCTATGGTATAACTGGCCTTTCATACTCCCATGCTCCTGATGCACACAGCTAACATCTATTTTGGTGACTATCATACGAAGGCTGACAGTGTTGGCACAAGCTAGCAGTGAGAGACAAAGAGAAAAGTGAACTTAAATTACTCTAGCAAACAACGTGTTATAGTTGCAGAGTTTTCTGTTGTCTTTCTGTCTGATGCTGCTATTTGGAGGAGATTTTGTTTTCCAGCTTATAAAGCTACACAAACAGTTGTTTCTGCCATGTGATAAAAACCAAAAAACA